TCTCCACATATTTTTATGTTTTATATTATATTTATATTTTTATATTATATTGTCCTTCAAAGGTTTCTCTTTTACAGCCTTGAGGTTTGTTGTCATCCTTAACAATTTTTTTTATAAATATATTTTTAAAATAATCAAAAAACTTCCCTAGCAAGTTTCCTGTTTTCAAAAATGTCCTGCTTTTTTTTCAAAACGAAATAATCGTAAACGACTTGAGAGACAACCGAAAAAAAACATTTTGGTGAGCTTGTATGCGTGTGTGCGGCAGTTAGTGGGCTCGTGCTCTTCAACTATTTTATGTCCTGTTGCCGTTAATGGCTTTGCTTCCTTGCAACAACAATACAAATAACATTTTCAAAAGTGCCACAAGAAAACGACAGCAGGACAATTAACATTGTGTTGGTGTTATTGAGTGCATGTGTGTGTGTGTGAACCAAGTCTTAAGGAAATATAAGAAATGTGGTTGAGGAAAGAAAGGACCAACAACAACAAAAAAAACATGATAAGTGTGCCTCTTCTATGTTGTTGTTGTTGCTTGTGTTTATAATTTTTTTTCTCTTTGGATTGACAAACAAGGGAAGCCTAATTTCTGTAGGCCAAAAGCAAGCACCAGATGACGGCATGCGCCTACATGGAAACGCGCCTCTGATCCTGCCAAAAAAAACCAAACGAATGAACAACAAACGATGACATACTCTCGCATTTAAGACAACATATGTTACACTTTTTTTTTCATTCCTTCGTTCTTTCTGGCTTGAGTCCTTTTTTGATGGTGGGGAGGATGGATCTTAATGTTCTTCCTTGTTCGTTCTCGGACGCTATCTTTCCAGAATGGAGAAGAACAACAACAGCAACAATTATTATCTGTAAGCATCCCAAATACCGCTACTTTCTACTTCTATTTTGGATGATTATCAAAAGAAAGAATCCACGCACACACACACACGGCGAAACGCGCCAGCCTTTCAGAACCACCAACAGTTGGCCATAATTGTGTTTCATGCATTCGCTGGTTTTCGGGGCCATAAAGATGAAATAATGATTTGGAATTCTTACAGTATGTCGTGCCAGGAAATTTTACATGCTGCCATGTTTATTTAGTGGTATTTTTGTGTATTCCTACTCCGGAATCTGGTGTAAATAACGGTCTTTAGGCTGTAATTAAACAAAACACACTTTTCATTCGCATTTCAATGGAATGCCTAAGCGGCCGCCTTTGAGAGTGCCGTCCTCACCCCAAAATACCCAGATACAATGTAAGCCGAATTAAAATTCAATCAATCAACCCGTCGTTGTTGTCTTTTTTTTCGCCAAATTTACAAAAATTTTGAATTTTTTTCGAGAATTTCGTTGCAAAATTTATTGGTGCCAAAATATTTAAATTGTTCGAAATGTAATTTAGATAATTTCGGATGGTCATGCAAAGCTATTTTATAGTCAACTAATTGTTGGGTAATTTTAAATTGATTACCAATGAAATGATGCAGCATAGGACGGGTGTGACATTAGGGAGTCTCAAATTTTAGGCAAAAAAAAGCAAGTAAAAAAGCAGAAGTTCGACCGGGTCGAACTTTGAATACCCTCCACCATTTGGAACTAATTTGGAAATTTTACAAACAAAAGGTAAAAATTCTGTTCAAATCTTAAAAATACCGAATATAGCCATTTTATTGGGGTCTAAACGAAGACGTGGACCTGCATTGACAACTTTTGTCATATGGCATTACAATATTCAAATACGAAACTTGAAACAATTCCGGTGAATTATGTCGCTAAAATCATCAAAATACCGAACACAGGGTGAGATGAAAAAACTGCAACCAACTTCAGATTGCTGTCATTTCTAAGCCACTCGTCCAATAGTTGTTAAAATTATTCCAGTGACAGATCATTATATTGTTTACAAGCGTACAAAAGCAATTTCGTGAAAATTTTCCAGAAAAAGAAGTTATTCGTGAAGGATCTCAAGCTTGATAGTGTTATATTTGGCTGGAAAACCACAAGTGGCTATCGTTAGAGCTCTCCAGCATTTAAATGTGAATCAACCTTTTGTGTCTCGTACCGTCGCTCGTTACCGTGATACTGGTAGCGTAGCCCGACGTCAAGGATGTGGACGGAAGAAAACAGCAACATCAGCATAAATGGTTCGAAAAGTAAAGAAGCGACTTGATCGAAACCCACGTCGCAGTGGACGAAAAATGACGACATATTGCAATATTCCATTCGGCAAATATTGAAAAATGAGCTCGGGGTAGTGCCATAGAAATTCCAAAAAGTGTAAGAACTTACTCCGCAACAGAAAGAAAATAGACTTAAATTAACTAAGGGGTTGCTTCGCTTGGCCGAAAGTGGTGAACTGCCGAATTTGGTTTTCTCCGTTGAGAAAACATTCGTTGTCCAAATACCAAAGTGTCGATCACCTCAAGCAAGCTCTTCGCCGGGAATGGGCCAAAATACCGCAGAGCAACATAAGTGTGACAGTTTCATTGGTCGTTTGAAGGCCACAATTCGTGCCAAAGGTGACCAATTCGAACCAAGCTAGGCTTATTCTAAAATTTGATGCTATTTCCGAAATTTTTTGCTTTCATTCAATAAAATGTTTAAAAAAAATGTAAGAGTTTTGGCGTTTGACTTTGTTGCAGTTTTTTTATCTCAATCTGTATAGAGAGGTACCGTTATATGGAGGCTATATAAAAACGTGAGTCTGCATACGAAATTTTTGTCATAGTCTGTATAACCCTATACGAATTCAAAATACAAAATGTGAAATAACTCCGTTGAAAAATGTCCCTAAAAATCGTCAAAATATCGAATATCGGGGGGTACCGTTGTATGTGGGCTATACGATATCGTGGACCTGTATGGACATTTCTCTTCCAGGTGATAAAGAGAAGAAATAAAGAACTTCTAGTATGGATTTGTAGACAATTCCAATGAAAAGTATAGCTAAAATCATCAAAATGCCGATAATAGGGAGATACTTTTATATGGGGGATATACGATATCGTGGACCTATACGGGGGGAGCGGGGGGAGTGGTGTGTACCGTTATATGCTGGCCGCCGGATACCAATTCCGGATTTTATGATCGTTTGGCTGCTCAACATTTTGATTCGTTGTGGGGGAAGTACCGGATGAAATGATCCGATCTTTACCATCTTTATAACAGATCTTATGTTGATAGAAATATTTAGATTTTCCAAGTCTAAATAGAAACGGATTTAAATTTCGTTTTTTAGGAGCTTCATGGTTATTCAAAATTTTGACCCTTCGTGGGGAAGGTACCACAAGAAGTGGACTAATATATCCAATCTTCACAGCAGATTTTGTGTTAATAAAAATAAGGGAATGTCTAAAATACGAAGAGGACCTGATGCTTTTTTGGAATTTCATGATCGTTTTGGTTATTCAAAACTTTGACCTTTTGTGGGGGAGGTACCAGATTGAATGGTCCGTTCTCCACAATCTTTATAACAGATCTTGTGTTGCTAGAAATATTTGGATTTGCCAAGTCTGAATGGAATCGGATTTTAAATTCGCGTTGTGTGATCTTCATGGATATTCAAAATTTCGAACTTTTGTGGGGGAGGTATCAGAAGGAGTAGATCGATATTTTCCATCTTCACAGCAGATTTTGTGTTAGGAGAAATAATGGAATGTCTGTCGTTTTTGTTATTCAAAATTTTGACCCTTTGTGGGGAAGGTACCTAATGGAGTGGACCGATATTGTCCATTTTCTCACCTGACCTTGAACTGATGAAAATATTAGGATTTGCAAAGTTGGAACAAAATCGGATTATCCTTTCTCTCTATGTGCAGTAAAATATTTTCTTTCAAAATTTCAACCTTTTGTGCGGGAGCTACCAGAAGAAGTGGACCGATGGGACCACATTTAGTAACCATTCTTGGGTGACGCGTGCTGAGTGTAATGGTGCTGAAACCTGTTGTAATACCCAAGGTCTGCGGCCAAAATGTTTGCGTGGCCAAGGCTTTAATACACCCTCCAGAATATTTTCGCGATAATATGCGGCATTTTTTCTGATGCCACGGTCGATTAATACGAGCGGATAGCGACCATCGGCCGTTATGGCGGCCCACACCATCACCATGGCCGGCCCTTGATTTCTGGTGGCCAACCGAAGGTGCACATTTTCAGCTGACTTCTTTGGCAAGTAAACACGATCATTTTGTTTATTTACAAACTGCTGGACAACGAATGTTTTCTCATCGGAGAAAACCAAATTCGGCAGTTCACCACTTTCGGCCAAGCGAAGCAACTCTTTACATCTTTTGAGTCTATTGACGTCGGGATACGCTACCAGTATCACGGTAACAAGACACAAGCGATTTTTTCAATGATGCTGGAGTGCTATAACGATATCCTTTTGTGGCTTTCCAGCCAAATATAAAGAAATGACACTATCACGCTTGAATTCCATTAGAATAACTTTTTTTCTGGAAAATTCTCACCAAAATGCATTTGTACGCTTGTAAACAATATAATGAGCTGTCACTGGGAAAATTTAACAGCTGTTGGACGAGTGGCTTTGAAATGACAGCAGTCTGAAGTTTGTTGCAGTTTTTTCATCTCAACCTGAAAATGCTCGATTCTCTTGTAATTTTGCCCATACCAATATAGTTCAAACCTGGCACGTCGCAATATTTATATCATATTTATTTAGGTCTTACACGAATTGGACAATATAGGCCCATTCCTTCGTAATCTGCTCCATAGAGGGTCAACAATTTGAATAATCATAACAGAAGTCAAAGTATATTAAAATCATCGAACATTGGCTGAGAGTATACATCTGTCGGCGAAACCGACGAATAATTTTAAACTTTTTGAATTTATGAAAAACTGTTCGCTGTAAGTTAATTGGCAACACAATTCAGATCCCTCTACTAAATAAATAATAATTTGACATGGCAACATTGGCTACTGCTCATGGTCAGTTCTATTCTTGTTCTCATTGCTATCGTCGGTCTTCAAAATTGTGCATTGACGGTTTTCGCGAATTCGATGGTTTCGGTTAGTTTTCAAAGTGAAAAAAGATTAATTACAAAGTAAATATCAATTAAAAAAATAAAAATCCAATGGAATATAGTAATTTAAATAAAAAAACACCTTTTTAAAAAACATCTAAACGTGTGCTTATTCAGCGTTTGCATTTTCTCCGTTTCAACTTTTTGTGTTGGTGTGTTGTGCTTTTGTTTTGGTGTTGTTTTTGTTGTTGTTGTGACTGAGAATATCTAGTCAGGAGAGAGAGACAAATGTGTTTTGGTTGTGTCTAGCTCTGTCGGTCGGTTGGGTGTTCTTTCGTAGTCCGCAATGTAGACAAATGACGTCATTTCGGCAGAGCTGTGTTGGTGCTGTTGATAAATAGATCTTTTTGCAAATTTGTCCCTGTATTGAAATAGAAACCTTAGGGATGCCAGCATTAGAACTGACAGGTAAGTTGGAAATTTAATTAATAAATTTTAGTTTGGCCTTGCAATAGGGTAAAATAACTGGGAACAACTCTAGTTTAGTAAAAACTCTTCAATTTTTTCGAAATTGTTTCCAGAAGTAGTTATTATTAACCTGATTTTTCCGATTTTTGACCCGAAAGTCCGGTATCATTTGAAAGCTTATGAAAATACCTATCCAACAAGTGGTCAAATGTAATGTAATTTTTAAGCGGAAGTTTTAGTCAAATTATTGATTTTTTCGACCCGAAATTTTTATAAAAAAACCCCAAAAAATCGAACAGGGTCCTATTATGGTTTATAGTTTAGTAAAAACTGTTCGATTTTTTCAAATTTTTTTCCCAGAGGTAGGTATTTTTGTCCGGGAAACTATTTTTATACCTTACACCATATAGCAAGCGATATAGATCCATAGATGCTTTTGCCCATGTCCGTCTGTCCATGTATTTTTGTGAACAAAATGTAGGTCGCATTGATTATCCGATTGAGATGAAATTTTTAAAACAATATTTCTTTGGACCAAGGGTGAACCCTGACCAATATCAGTTCCAATAATTTTAATGTTGACATATCTGACCGAATTCCTTTCAAAAGCAAGTACATCAAATTTGTTGAAAATAGGTTCAGATATAGCTATGGCTCCCGCATATGTTTCATCCGATTTGGGGGTTTAAGTCCTTCACATTCGCAATATTCACTCCACAAGAATGATATTTGGTACCACATAACTTATAGACTACAAAAATTCATCTGGGTACAAAAGGAAGGAACTTGAAGAATTTCAACAAAAAAATTGAAGAAAAAAACTGGAAAATACCGAATATTGGGAGGTACTGTTATATGGGGGCTATACGAAGACTTGGACCTGCATTTTTGTCATAGGCTGTAGTAATTTCGTAGAACTTCGAATACGAAATCTGAAATAATTCAGGTAAATAATGTCGCTGAAAATATCGAATATCGGAAGGTACCGTTATATGGGGGCTATATGAAAGCGTTACATGGTCCATTTACGAACTTAACCTGCCTACTGGTAAACTATGCATGTATGCAAAAATTTAGCCTTCTATATCAATTCGTTCGAAAGATAGCATGATTACAACAGACAGAAGAACAGACAGACGGACGGACATCGCTAGATCGCCTTAGAATTTTACGCTGATCTATTATGAATATTTCGAGGAGTTACAAACGGAATGACAAAGATAATATACCCTCCATAGAATGGTGAAGGGTATAAAAATGATCGAGTTTACTTGCCAAAGAGGTCAGCTGAAAATGTGCACCTTCGGTTGGCCACCAGAAGTCATGTGCCGTCCATGTTGATGGTGTGGGCCTCCATAACAGCCGATGGTCGCTCTCCGCTCGTATTAATCGACCGTGGCATCAAAATATTCTGGAGGGTGTATTGAGGCTTTGGGCACGCAAAAGCACTCAGCACGCACCACCCAAGAATGGTCACAAAATGAGGTTCCTCGCTTCATTTCCAGCGCAAAATTTATCCGGATACCAATCCGTTGGACTATTGTGTCTTGAGTATTTTGAAAAGCAAGACTGGCACTAAAAAATACCGAAGTGTCGATCACCTCTAGTAAGCGCTTCGCCGGGAATGGGCCAAAATACCACAGAACAACATTCGGGCAGCGTGTGACGGTTTCATTGGACGTTTGAAGGCCATAATTCGTGCTAAAGGTGACCAGTTCGAACAGAAATCTAAACTTATTCTAAAATTTGATGCTATTTCCAACATTTATTGCTTTCATTAAATAAAATTAAAAAAAAATGTAAAAATTATGGCGTTTGGCATTGTTGCAGTTTTTCTTATCTCACCCTGTATATCGTTATCCGATTTCAGGTGTTTTATGCACCAAATGGCTAATATCAGCCAAAATGGACTTAATTTTTGCACTCCCGACCGAGTTCGGATTAAAAGCAAGTGCTTCAAATGAATAAAATGCCAGGTGGGGCAAATGAGCAACTATGGCTTCATAAACCTAACCTAAGTTAAATTAACTTAGTCTGAGCTCAAAGTCTAGGATAATTTTTGAATTAAGGTAACTTTTTTGTGGTAGCCAATCAGGTTCTACTAGTCTCAGGACATCTATAAAAGATACTTAAAAACTTGACGGTTCTAATAAATACCCCGCTCGGTTATGTAACACCTAATCGTAATTATCCACGTTTGATGATGCTGCTGATTTCCTATTTTTAATGAATGACTTCCTTTGGTACATCTCTAGCCTTCTTCTTCCTAATAGGTAGCGCCCCAATGAAAAGGATATGAAAGAACAGTTAAATAGAAAGGGTTTCTTTAATTTACTCGACGGCCACTTCGAAGGATTTTCATTGATCACTGGAGACAACAACAACAACTAAAAGAACACAAAAAAATTGATAACAGTTGGTCTAATGTTTGTTTGCGCGTGCGTGCTGCTTTCTTCCGACTTTGCTTCTTGTCGGTGTTCCATCTCATTTTTTGTGGAAGGTGTCATGTTGACAATGTTCCCTTTTTCTCGATGTTAATGATGCTGAGGACGGTGCCGCCGCTGCTGTTACAGTTGACCAGCCGTTGAGCTAAGGTAAAGAGTTAATCCTTTTTGGTTTCGGGGTCCCCCATTATTTTCTCCCTCTCCATTTTCGGCAGGACAAGCAATTCAAATTTAATTCATCGGATGATTTTTTTCCTTCTTTCGAGGGTTAGTTCATTTCAAAAATTCATTGGTTTTTCGGGGGTTCATTATTTTGTATTTAAAAACTGAGCTCAAAATATATTACCTTTTGGTTGGAACAGCTAGCTCATTGAACACGTGTTCCACTTTTTGGTTTGTTTGATTGTGTGTGCGTTTTTTTTTTTTTTGAGCCAATCTAAGAGGCTGTGTGTGTCTGTCTGCCATTGTTGAGCGGCGTCAGTTGGTTTATTAAACTGCAGTCCCATATGGGTTTCCGAAAATAAATAAAATAAATTGTAACAAATACGTTTGCGGAACGAGCTTGTGTGTACGTGTATGTACACATATACATACATGGAAATGTATGTTGGATCATGAATGTTTTGAATATCCGTCACATAAAGGCCTTCAAAAAGTCGTATATAAAATAAGTTTTAGATCTCTTCTTTAAGGTCTTCTATAAAGAGAATACGCCTGAAAATCTTCCATAGGCTTCTTCCGTGGACAAAAGACCTCTAAGAGATATTTTATGGACCGATGACTGAAAAGCACTGGAAGGTCTTCTAAGGACTCTCGGCCCAAAGAGACTTTTCTCTGCACAAAAAAATTTTCAATGGCTTTATATGGACCGATGACCTCTTAATGGTCAACTATTGACAGACACTTTGAGGTCTACTCTTCACTGAAGATCACTGGAAGGTCTTCCATGGACTCTTGACTCTTAGAAGGTCTTCTGCAGATAAAACACATACAAGAGGACTTTTTGGACCGATGCCCTTTTCAATGATTTCTAAGCACCAATTACCTCTTAAAGGTCGTCTATTGACAGGGAGTTATTTTAACTTCTTCTTTGGACTAAAAATCTCTAGTAGGTCTCTCGTGAAATGCCAACCATTAGAAGGTCTTCTGCGATCAAAAAACCTCTAGAAGGCTTTCTTTAGACCGAAAACCTCATAAAACGTATTCCAAGAACCAAAGGCCTCTAAAAGGTCGTCTATTGACAGAGAGACACTTTAAGGTATTCTATGAAAAGAAAACCTATGGAAAGTCTTCAATAGAAAAAAACCTTGTAAAGGAAAAAAGACCTCTAAGAGGCCTTGTATGGACCGATGACCTCTTCAAGGTCTTCCAAGCACTATTGACCTTTTAAAGGTTGTCTATTGACAGGGAGTCACTATAAGGAATTTTTTGGACTTTTTTCATTGACTATCGACCGTTACGGACTGTTGCGGACAAAATACCTCTAGGAGGCTTTCTATAGACCAAAAACCTATTTAAGGTATTTCTCTATTGAATAGACCCACTTTAAGGTATTTTATAAACAGAAGACCTCTGGCAGGTCCTCAATGGAAAAAAAATATTGTAAATGGCAAAAAACCTCTAAGAGGCCTTATGTGGACCGATGACCTCTTTCAGACATTCTAAAGACCAATGACCTCTAAAAGGTCGTCCATTGACAGAGATTCACTGTAGGGTCTTCAATGGATAGAAGACTTCCGAAAAATCTTCATTGGAAAAAACTTCCTACAGGTATTTTTCGCTCTTCTATGGATAAATACGTCTATGCGGTCTTCTATGGATATAAGACCTCTTAGTGGTCTTTTATGAACAGTAGAAAGAAATCCACGCTCGGACCTTATATAAGGACCTTATAGCTTTATAGAGATCTTCGGTCAATATAAACCTTTTTTGAAGATCTTCGATTTATGGAAAATATTTCAGATGTCTTCGGTCTAAAGGATGCATTTTAAAGCTTTTCGGTTCAGGGGGATATTTCTGCGATATTTGCCTTATAGAAAGCCTTTCAGAGACCTTCGGCCTACAGATTTTATAAGACCTCTTAATGATCTTTTATAAACAGTAAAAAAGAAATCCACGCTCGGACCTTATATAAGGACCATATAGCTTAATAGAGGTCTTCAATCAATATAAACTTTTTTTGATGATCTCCGATTTATGGAAAATATTTCAGATGTCTTCGGTCTAAAGGATGATTTTTAAAGCTTTTCGGTTCAGGGGGATATTTCTGCGATATTTGCCTTATAGAAAGCCTTTCAGAGACCTTCGGCTTACAGATTTTATAAGACCTCTTAATGGTATTTTATAGACAGTAAGAAGAAATCCCAGCACGAACCTTAAATATGAGGACCTCATAGCTTTATAGAGGGCTTCGGTGACCTTTTTTGAAGATCTTCGATTTATGGAAAATATTTCAGGGGTCTTCGGTCTATAGGATACCTTTCAAAGATTTCCGGTTCAGAGGATCTATTCTGCGATATTTACCCTATAGAAGACCTTTCAGAGACCTACGGACTACAAAAGATCTTACAAATATCGTCGGAATTTTAAAGGTCTTCTGTCTGTGACTACCTACCTATACAAGAACCTTCCAAGGTCTTCAGTACTGTTTGGAATACCTTTCAAAGGACCTCGATATATAGAAGCTTCTTCGGAAGTAAGAAAACCTTTTACGGATGTTTGATCTATAGACGATCCTTCAAATGTATTCTGTCTTCAAAAACTCATTTCAAGTTTATCCGGTCCTTAGAGGAACCTTTAAGAATCTTAGAGCTGCAGATGATCCTTCATTGGTGCTAATTGCTTCATAAGAACTTTGGTCTATATAATACATTCGAGCTATATAAGACCCTCGTTCAATATAAAATCCTCGTTTTATATAAGACCTTCGGTTAAAATCAGACCTTTTTCCTATATAAGATCCTCAGTTTAGAAATGATCTTGGATCTGTATACGATCTTCGTTGTATATAAGACCGTCGGTCTATAAAATACCTCCAGTCTGCAAAAGATCTTACGTCAATATAAGACCTTCAGAATATATAAGACTTTCGGTCTATAATACCTTTGGTCTATATACGACCTACGGTCTATAAAGGACCATCGGTCTATAAAGACCTTCGTTTCATATAATACATTCGATATATATAATATCTTTGCTTTATATAGGACTTTCGGTCTATATACGACATTTGGTCTATATACGACATTTGGTCTTTATACGACCTTTGGCCTTTATACGACCTTTGGTCTTTATACGACTTTTGGTCTTTATACGACCTTTGTTCTTTATACGACCTTTGGTCTTTATACGACCTTTGTTCTTTATACGACCTTTGGTCTAGATACGACCCTTGGTCTACATACGACCTTTGGTCTGCATACGACCTTTGGTCTATATAAGACCTTTGGTCTATAGGAGACCTTCGGTTAATATATGATCTTTGGTTTATATAAGACCTTCGGTCTATATAATATCGTGGATCTGTATAAGACCTTTGGTTTATATAGGACCTTAGCATAAGACCAGCGCTCTATTAAAGACATTCGGTCCTCATAAGAACTTCATTGCATATAAGACCTTCGGACTGTATAGACCTTCAGCCTATATGAGATGTTTGGACTATATGAGACCTTCGGTGTACATATGGCTTTTGGTCTGTATGGGACTCTTGATCTCTAGAAGACTTTTGGTCTGTATAAGACCTTCCATCTATACAGACACAGACCAGTGATCTATATAAAACCTGTGGTCAATTTAAGATCTTTGGTCTCTAGAAGACCAACGGTTAATATAAGACCTACGGTTAATATAAGACCTTCGGTCTATATAAGGTCATAGGTCAATATATAACCTTCATATAAGACCCTCGGTACCGCCCTCTCTTCTACCGCCCATGACATAAAACACCACATCGCAAAGAAAATGTTTACCTCTTTTTATTCTCTCTACAATTTCTTTAAATCTTCCTGATGTAAATGATTGGAACAAGTTTCCAAAATACGATCAAAATATTCCACTGTCTCATTCACAACCCTCTCGGCACAGTTACGTGATGTCTCCGCCCCAACATTGGCCAATTGATGAGTGTGTAATATTTGCATGCTGGCCCGATTCAAAAGTATTGCCATATCCCTATTCAATTCCGCGATTTTCTCGATAAAACAAACCGTCAAACTGGCGAAGCTGTATTCCGTGTTCTCACATTCACTGGGTAAATTTTCGATTTGTTTCGAACCGAATTCTAGCGATTTGGATATTTCTCTGGTGTCATTGTGAAAATTATTCAAGAGATTGTTGAGATTTTTCGTACAGCCCGTTAGCTGGGAATCAATGCGATCGCGTAGCTCATCCATGGTTAGGAGACGTTGACATTCAGGTTTTTCCATGGCGGTTTGAATTTCAATAATTGGCTGGGTCAATTGGTCCAGAGCGGTGTCGATAATTACCTCAATATCACCGATAATGGTTTGACCAACGACCTCAATTTTATTGGAGAGTTGCGTGGTCAGATCTTCGGCAACTTTGTGGGTGTGTAGGGCGAGATTTTCCATGACATGGGTCGAGGGGCCCTTTATGTCATTTTGTCGGGCCTTCACGGCCACAATGGAAGCCGAAGACTGCAAAGGGATTGATGATTATTATTTAAATATGCAGAATTTATTATTTAATTTACCTTATCATTGCTCTGCAGCAGAATTGTAAAAATCAAAAGTTTCCACATATCGTCCAGGGCGAGTGAATCAACCAGCCGCTTTGTTCAATGTTAAATTTTGAACTAAATTCACTTTTACTTTCCTATCTCAGTTCGCCATTAAAAATCAGTTTGATTTTCGTCTCCTATTTCGATATTAGATAAGTTGCGGTTGATTTCCCTTAACATTTTCCAATGTCACAGAGATACAGAACGAACTGATAAAAATCTGATACAACCTTTGAATGTCATCACCAAGCAATGCCCTGCCATTCTCCTAACCCACCAATGAACGACCGAACGGGTGAGTAATTGATATGTTTTGGTTCGATTTTTTTTTTTAAATGATCAATATTTGCACTTTATTTAATTGAACTCAATGCGAGAATATGTTAAGAATATTGGGAACCAGATTTGGACCATTTTTGGAGAAATGTTAGTTTGAATTTATTTTTGATTCTGTGTAGTTGTGAAACATGAAACTTTGGTTATTTTGTGGAATATTGACATTTGCGGTAATTTTATTAATTTTTAGAATTGTTAATTAAATAAAATAGTTGAGTGAGATTATGGATATCGTGAACCTGAAAGAGTACTAACCTCAGAGGAAACCCAAAGTGTTTAAAAGTGATATTCAAAAGAGGGATCATATGTATTCCAAAGAGAGGGTAGAAAGATCAGTTCAATAGAATCAAATGAAACATATATATTGGAGTTAAATAAAATGGAACATACATATGAGAGTTGCAGTGATATCTTAACAGATTTTTATCCAATTTGACGGGCAAGCTTCTGTGCTGAATTCTGTCGTATGTGCCAAAAACTACTCTATTTGTCACTTAATATCCGTTAATTGTACAATACAAGTGACATCGAAAGATAAATATGTATAGGAGCTATATCTAAATCTGCATGATCATCAATTTCAATAGGGTTCGTCTTTGAACTGTGTAAATTTTCATTTAAATCTACGAAGATTAGTGAGCGACTTACAGACTGACTCATCACGGCCCAGGCGAAACATCAGAAGCGTCAATCTTTTTCATGTGGGTTAATGTTCGGTGTTTAGATGTGTGTTTTTGGATGTTCGGCTATAAGTGCACTCAAAGGTCTTAAAAAATTGTAGCCATTGTATTGGTCAATCGGATTAAACTAGAATTCCGAAATGTTGTTGCTGATTGGGAGTTAGACAGATGTGCCAGAGATATTTTTGTACTGATAAAATTCTGATACAACCTTTCAATGTCATCACCAAGAATTTTTTTTAACAGAATTTTTGACTGGGCTGAATCGAAAATTATTATTTCGATGAGTTGCAGACAGAATGACGAAATTAAGATAACCTCCATGTTATATAGGGTGATAGTATGGAGGGTATATTAATTTCGTCATTCTGTCTGCAATTCATCGAAATAATAATATTCGATTCAGCCCTGTCCGTCCCTCCGTCTCTCTGTTGTAATAACGCTAGAGTCAAAACGATTAAAGATAGGAAGCTAAAATTTCGCACTGATCAGTCTTTTGCCTGTAGGCAGGTCAAGTTCGAAGATGGTCTATATCGGTCGAGGATATCGTGTAGCCCCCATATAACGGTACCCCCGATATTTGGTATTTTGATGATTGTAACCAAATTTGCCAATGAAATTGTCTCAAAACCCCACAAAAAGGAGTTCCTTCTGAGTACTTTACACCCTAGAAGCGTATGGTCTATACTGGTCCACGATATCGTAAAGCCCACATACAACAGTACCTTCTTATTTAGAATTCGTAATAGGTCCTACAGCTTATGTCAAAAAATTGCTTATGTAGGCCCACGTCTTCGTATAGCCTCTATATAACGGTACCTCCCAATAATCGGTATTTTTATGATCTTAGCGACATTATTCACCGGAGTAGTTTCAAATTTCGTATTTAGAGGTCGTAATAGGCCCCAATAAGATTTTAACAGAATTTTTGACGGGTTTTATTTTTTTTTGTCGTCGTATAGGTCCCATATAACGGAACCTCCCAATATTTGGTATTTTTATGATTTTAGCGACATTATTCACCGGAGTAGTTTCAAATATTGTATTTAGAGGTCGTAATAGGCCCCAATAAGATTTTAACAGAATTTTTGACGGATTTTATTTTTTTTTGTCTTTGTATAGGCCCCATATATCAGTGCCTCCCGATATTCGGTATTTGACGATTTTAGATACAATTTTCACCGAAATTGTTTGAAGTGTCGTATTTGAAGTTCTTAATAGGTACTGCAGCCTGTGTCAGAAAATTGCCAATGCAGGTCCAGGACTTCGTATAGCCCCGATATAACGGTACCTCCGGCGTTTTTACGAGTTTAGCTACTTTATTCACCGATATCTTTCAAATTTTGTATTTGAATATTGTAATGGCTTATGACAAAAGTTGTCTATGCAGGTCATCGTCATTGTATAGACCCCAACATAATGGCTATATTCGGTATTCTTAAGATTTTAAAAGAATTTTTAACGGATTTTATGTTTTTGGAAAATTTCCAAATTCCTTCCAAATGGTGTAGGGCATTCAAAGTTCGGCCCGGTCGAACTTACTGCTTTCTTACTTTTTTTTTAAGTTTGAACTATAAGCTTACTAAAAGTACGAAAAAGTACTCAAATGTCGAACCATTTTACCATTATGTGATCTGAATAAATCTGAAATCTTGACATTTGGAATTGAAGTTGGGGAAGAAGGGTTTATAAAGGGAGTTGCTTTCGAAAATGTAATAAGTGTAAGAACTCAACCAATTGACACTAAATTTAGTACAATTCGGTAGTGCTTGAAATCTGAAATTTGTCATTAGCCATTTGGTATTAAGATTTCGAAAGGTACTAAGAGTATTTGGCTGGAAGTCTAAAATTTGAAATGATGGTCTTTGATGTTGTGTAGAATGGACGAGCCAACAGGTTTTTGAAAATTTAATCAATAATTCGTTGGAATTATGAAAACGGATAGAAATGAAAAATCTCCAAATTTGGTACGATAACAAGTACTAATTGGTACTAAATTTGGCATAGAGCTTTGGTATAGGGTTGGAGTTATGAATTTTTGGTATAAGGGTCACTGTGGGCGTGCATAATTTAAACAATGACATAATTTTGAATAAGTCTACCTTATAGGGTGCAGTTCTAGAGCTTGGAGTCATAAAGATGCCTGCGATTCAAATGAGTTGGTTAATGGCTCAGTAATAAACTTCCAGCAAGAGAAAGAACAATTAATCGAATTATACCCGACTATTTAAGCCGAATTTCAAGATTATAAATTTTAGTAAAAATGATAGACAAAATTTATATAGTAGTTAACGCAATATTAAGAATGGGTTCTGTTCCATTAAATTGTGTACAAAATTGGTGGATATGGGGGGAACCGGGGCTAAAAAACCAAATGCACTACGTCACAGATAGCGGGTAAATATGCGGATATTATGTGTAGTGTGCTTCTTAGAATCGCGATATCTTGGGAATGGTAACAATTAGGAACAAGAAATTCGAAAAACTAAAAATTTTGACCTTTGATCCTGAACAAGTTTCCTCCTAAGTTTGTCGATGGGATTCCAAATGTTGTACTTTTGATGTCTTTGATGAAATGTTTCAAGTTCCGACGATACTTCCCCATAATAAATACATTTTTATACCCTCCACCTTTGAAAGGAGGGTATATTAACTTTGTCATTCCGTTTGTAACATCCTTAAATATTCGTTGTAGACCCCATAAAGTATATATATTCATAATCAGCATAAAATTCTAAGTCGATTTAACGATGTTACTGTCTGTCTGTTGAAATCATGATACAGGCCACATTATTTGACGTAGATCGGCAAAATTTAGCAGAGCAATTTGTATTGTGTCTAGGATGGTTGGTATTGAAAATGAGATATATCCGTCCACGTTTTGGTGTAGTCCCCATATAACTGTACCTCCCGAGATTCGGTATTTTGATGATTCTTGCTACATTTTTTCACGGATTTGTCTAAAAATTGGTATTTGTAGTTCGTAATGGGTTCTAGCTCCGGTGGCGGAACAGTGCATGTTTAGGTCCACGATTTGGAATAGTCCCCATATAACGATACCTCCCGATATTCGGTATCCTGATGGTTTTTGCATATTTTTTCACGGATTTTTCTAAAAGTTGGTATTTGTGGGTCAAAATGGGTCCTAGTTCGCGTGGCAAAACATTGTATCGATAGGTCTATGCTTTAGCATAGCCCCCATATAACGGTACCTCCCGATGTACCGAATGATGATTTTTGCCACATTTTTTTCACGGATTTGTCGGAAAATAGGTCATAATGGTTCCTAGTTCGTGTAGTAACGGTACCTCCCGATATTCGCTATTTTGATGATTTTTGCCACATGTAGATCATATTGGGTTCTAGCTCCGGTGGCGAAACATTGCATGTATAGGTCCACGTTTTTGTATAGTCCCATATAGCCCTATTTCCCGATATTCGGTATTTTGATGATTTTTGGGAAATTTTCCCATGAATATCTCTAAAAATTTGTATTTGTGTGTCATAATGGGCTCTAATGTTTTCTTTTGGCCCGGTCGAACTTAATGTTTTTTTTACTTGTTCAATGAAAACTTGGAATATTGAGTTCTTACTACCTACGATTTTCTCTGGCAGATAATGGTCTATGCAGGTCCGCTTGTTCGTATAGCCAACATATAACTGTTGCAACCGATATTTAGTACCAAAGCCTAAAATCCGGAGATTTATTTTTATTTGGCTTTTTAGAGAGAAATTAAACTACCCACTGAAGCCTAGAAATGTAAGTTGAGACCTAAATGAAATTAAGACCTAAATGAATAGGATATTTATAGTACCAAACATCTTAGGGGACTACAAACGTCTATGCTAAATTTCATTCTTTTACCTCTACTTCTCCTTATGTCAAATGTCAATTTTCGAGGTCCTGTCTTTCTTAACCACTAAACACCAACACTGCCCAATCCGCATAATTTGATGTCGGAGCACATTTTATTAATTTAAGTAATTTCGTACCATTGTATTTCGTTTTTCCAAGAATCCAGACCTAAAACTTACCTAAACGCCAACATTAGACCTCATGCTAAATTTCGTAGTTTTAGTCTCAGGAAATTAAAATTGTTTTATTTTTAGGAGAACGCCAAATATTCGCTTTGAAATACTATTTCCCCATAATTTCCTACTTAACATTTTCCATTCTCTCCCTTTTTGTCTTTGAACTTTTAGCTCTTGGGTGTTCATGGCCTACGGGATGTACCACAGGTGATTTGGAAACATGGCCCTCTCTACGAAGGCATTCAACATCTGATAGCCCAGGAAAAGTTCACCGCCAAGGAAATTTGGAATGATACGAAAATAATAATCGAAGCCACTGCCAATGAACTTCAAATGGCCCAAAAGTATCTGCACAACTACGAGCACATCTTTAGTGAGAAAATGAAACAACTCAAGGAATGGGAACAATATGAGGATCTACGAAAATGCTATGTGCAATACGAACGACAGATAGCTCGTTTCAATCGGGATCTCATTACCAAATATCGCATCTGTCGCCATGCGCTGAACAGTAGTCTCTCCCAGCTGGAAGATGAAATACGCTCGGAGGTTTTCTATATTCGTGATGCTGCCATCGAAATTCAGGAGGTCGTGTATGACTGTAATGTCACCGAATTGGGGAGATTCGATGATGAGGAGGATAACTATTTCACGGGCAGCCGTATCACAATGTGTGTCATTTCGAAGTTGAGCGCGATTCGTCAAAAGCAATTCGAATCGACTCATATCTCTTTGGAAATTCTCGGACGTATTGTTGCCAGTGATATGAACCAGAATGAAATGGAGGATGACAATGGAGGCATTTCTATACCCCGGGGTGATAATGTTTGCCTGGAATTCCGTCATTTGCGCGAGGAATTTGAAACCATCTATGATCGCATATTAAGATGTGTGATGGATGGAAAGTGAATTAACTTTCGATTAATATTTTTTGTGAATTGAAATAAATGAAATGACTTTGAAAATCTGAAAAAATTGTTTGAGATTATTTTAATTTTTATATTTTTTTAAGACTATCTACACACACAAATAGAATTTTCTTTTATACGTAAAATATTTTTTTTTTTTTCGTTTTGGAAGGCAGCGTTCGATCGATCCTCTCCTTTGGTAAAGAAGCGACTTGATCGAAACCCGCGTCGCAGTGGCCGAAAAATGGCTCGTGAGCTGAACATATCGCAATATTCCATTCGGCAAATATTGAAAAATGAGCTCTAGGTAAAGCCATTGATGTTCAACAAAGTGAAAGAACCTACACCCCAACAGAAAGAAAATAGACTCAAAAGAGCTAAAGGGTTGCTTCGCTTGTCCCAAAGTGGTAAACTGCCGAATTTGGTTTTCTCCGATGAGAAAATCGTTGTCCAGCAGTTTGTAAACAAACAAAATGATCGTGTTTACTTGCCAAAGAGGTCAGCTGAAAATGTGCACCTTCGGTTCGCCACCAGAACTCAAGCGCCGACCATGGTGAGGGTGTGGGCCGCCATAACAGACGATGGTCGCTCTCCGCTCGTATTAATTGACCGTGGCATCAGAATAAATTCCGAATATTATAGCGAAAAGGTTCTGGAGGGTGTATTAAAGCCGGAGACCTTCCCAACAGGAAGACCTTCGCCGGGAATGGACCAAAATACAGCAGAGCAACATTCGGGCAGCGTTTGAAGGCTATAATTCGTGCCAAAGGTGTCTAAACTTATTCTAAAATTTGATGATATTTCCTACATTTTTATGCTCTCCACCATTCTATGGAGGGTATATTTTCTTTGTCATTCCGTTTGTAATTCCTCTGGATCAGCGAAAAATGTTAAGGCGATATAGCGATTTCCGTCTGTCTGTTGTAATCACGCTATCTTTCGAACGAATTGAGATTTACGGATAAAGTTTTGCATACATGCATAGTTTACCTTTAGGCAGGTTAAGTTCGTAAATGGGCCATGTCGGTCCACCTTTTCGTATAGCCCCCACATAATGGTATTTCCCGATATTCGGTATTTTCAAAATTTTAGCGACATTATTTACCGGAATTATTTAAAATTTCGTATTTGAAGTTCGTGATGGGCACTGAAGCCTATGACAAAAATTTTTGTATGCAGGTTTAAGTCTTTGTATAGCCCCCATATAACGGTACCTGCCGATATTCGGTATTTGGATGATTTCAGCAACATTATTCACCGGAATCGTTTCAAATTTCGAACTGGAAAATCCTGATGGGTTCTACAGCGTATGGCAAAAAATGTTGTATGCAGGTTGAAATCTTTGTATAGCCACAGTGTAACGGTACCTCCCGATATTTCGTATTTTCATGATTTTAGCGACATTATTTATTGGAATTATTTACAATTTCGTATTTGAAGTTCGTGATGGGTACTACAGCCTATGACAACAATTTTTTGAATGCAGGTTCAAGTCTTCAGCAACATTATTCACCGGAATCGTTTCAAATTTCGTACCAGTAGATCCTAACGGGTACTACAACCTATGGCAAGAAAATTTCTATGCAGGTTCACATCTTCGTATAGACCCATATCACGGTACCTCCCGATATTCGTTATTTTCATGATTTTAGCGACATTATATTCCGGAATTATTTAAAATTTCGTACTTGACTTTCGCAATGCGTACTTTTGGTACTTTCTATACCACTTACAATTTTTGTACTTTTTTGTACATATTTCGTATTTGAAGTTCGTGATGGGTACTAAAGTACTTTTGGTACTTTTTATACCATTTACAATTTTTGTACTTTTTTATTATATATTTCTAAAACCACCTTCATATCTCAACCATATACACTAATAGTGACTCTAATGTCTACATTTGAAATAGTCCAGCTTCATCCGTTCACCAAAACCCAAAATATACCAAATTTAGTACAGTTCTTACACTTAGAACACATTTCCAAAACCACCTCCTGGTAGCAAACCTACTTCCAAAAAAATAAATATTGTACAAAAATTAGTGCTTTTATAAATCGGATTTCCAAAAAAAAACTTTCGTACATCTATCCTACACCCCATCAGTCACAATCATTCAGAATTTCAGAATTCTTGTCTTATTCCTTTTTTAGTGTCTTTTAGTACATTTAGTACCCTTTTAGCACACATATCCAAAAATCCAGCCTTATCTCAACCCTATACGGAATAGTTGTAAGCAAAGTGTATCGTCACAATGGTGTGGGATGCAGGAATAGAGTTGAAATCAACCTTCTTCACTATTGTATTAAATAACAAGTAAAAAAGCTGTAAGTTCGGCCGGGTCGAACTTTTAATACCCTCCACCATTTGGTACAAATTTGGCAATTTTCAAAAAATAAAACCCGTTAAAAACTCTGTTAAAATCTTAAAAATACCGAATGCTTATACGACGACGTGGGCCTGCATAGGCAACATTTGTCATAAATTATTACAATATTTAAATGCGAAACTTGAAGAAAAATCTGTTTATAATGTAGCTAAAATCATCAAAATACCGAATATCGGGGGGTACCGTTATATGGGGGCTATACGAAGACGTGGACCTGCACAGACAATTTTCTGGCATGGGCTGAAGTATTCATTACGAATTTCAAATACCAAATTTGAAACGATTCCGGTAATCAATGTCGCTAAAATCATCAAAATACCGAATATATGGGGGCTACACGAAGACGTGGACCTGCACAGATAATTTTCTGTCTTAGGCTGTAGTATCCATTACGAACTACAAATGCCAAATTTGAAGTAATTCCGGTGAATAATGTCGCTAAAATCATCAAAATACCGAATATCGGGAGGTACCGTTATATGGGGGCTATATGATAACTTGGACCGAAATACCCATTTACGAACTTAACCTGCCTACTGGGAAAATATACACGTGTGCAAAATTTTAGCCTTCTATCTCAATTTGTTCGAAAGATAGCGTGACAGACGGACAGACAGACAGACGGACATGGCTAAATCGTCTTAGAATTTTACGCTGATCAAGAATATATATACTTTGTTGGGTCTGACATGAGTATTTCGAGAAGTTACAAACGGAATGACAAAATTAATATACCCTCCATAGTATGGTGGAGGGTATAAAAAGGGGATCATTGTCTCTTTTCCCAAAAGCGGCCGATTTTTCAGTATGAGATGCAATGTAGGCATTGGGGTGTACTGTATCTATCCCCAAAAGGGCCCTAAAATACTATTTCATAATCGTTTATTAATTATTTATGTTATATTTTCACAAATATTAAACATATGGACGGCATTCTATAAAACAAATTAATGAATGCAATTTTCACCTCAGCAACCTTTAAGTTTTCCTTTCAAAATCGAAAGTATGGAAAATCCAATAGAATGCAATAAACCATTATGGACTCCATTGCCTATGGAAGATCGAAAAAATGATATATTAGTCTTGAAATTAAATCATAAATAATCCACTAAATGTTTACAAAATATTCATTGTTTCCAAGCGGGACTTAGCCCCCACCAACAAATGAAAGGGAAAATAACAAAATAGAACCGTGTAACTAACTAAGAATGGAAATCGAAGAAAAATACAAATGATAAATTTTCCAGTTTTTTACCGACAAAGCAATGACAAATAGTGCCGACGCAACTAATTGAAATTGCGGTTTTTCTCAAATGATCGCCGAAGGAACGATTTGAAAAAAATTAAGCAATAAAATTTGTTCAGGTTCACGCAAAATTCAAAACCTATCAAGGACAATAAATCCCACCAAAAATTTGAGAAAAAAAAACGAAATGGTAATGAATCAATCCTTGAGGCCATAAAACAAAATCGTTGTGAAGATGCTTGAATCTTCTTTTTCACTTTTCAATGGAGGGGTCATCATTTGAGTCCTTGGCTGCTGCCGTTTGGTCAAGTGGTTGTTTTGTTTTTTGTGTTTTTTCTAAGAGGCAACCACACATATGATACTATTCTCCCTTACACATATCATGGCACGCTAATGTGAGGTAATCCTGGCCCTTTTGCATTGTCCTGCGAACCACTAAATAAACAATGTAGCCTTTTCACTAATCCGTTTCGCCATTGTTCGTCACTGATCGTTTTTTTTTTTGGGTGAAAATATTATCAAGGATTACAGCGAGGACGATGATGATCCTATGTGTGTGTGGTTACTACTTGACGAACATTTTCGCTATTGTTCTCCGTTCGTGTTCTTCTTCACGACGCTATTGTTGAATTTTTTTCTATGGTCAGAACTCGGCAGAATTGAGTTTGACGGTCATCAGATTTGAAATGTTGACAGGCGTAACACGCCCTTGCCACAATAAACAATTCCTTGACTTTGAGAGCGTAATGCATACGCAAGGCCCGGACTTACTGGGAATCCCCTCACGATCATAACCAAGTGCTTGTGCGTGAGAATTCAATGCTGTAGGTCGTTGTTTTTCCCAACAATTGCATTGCTCATTTTCATTCTCCCCCACTCTGTCTCTCTCCCTGTGAGACAGTTATGATCAGGATCATCATCAGGACAGCATCATCAATATGTTTTACTGGGAAATTTTCACAAGCAGGCTAGTGAGTGAGCATGGCTTCTGCATTGCGGTAGGTTACCCATCCTGCCTGCGTTCGTTGAGGAGAGTTTGATGTGAATTTTGATTTTTATCGTTGGTGTAATTTATTAATTACTTTCTCATTTGCCGAACAGCCAACAGCCTGTCGGCAAAATGCTATTTTCTTTTTACGCATCGAAATGGAGGAGTATTCCATTTTATTGCCATCAAATATTGCCGTCAATCAAATTTATTAGTCAATTTGAGTTAATGATTATTTGATTCGTGAGAGAATAAAAATAGAATTTTATTTTTAAAAAGACTTCAAAAGTCCGGTTAAAAAAATAAACTGAGGAACAGACAGAAATCACTTTAGCTTCCGAACGATTTAAAGTATGTTGATAAAATTTTACGTAAATGTGTGTTTCGTGTACAGGACTTTTGGTATTGAAAA